GGCTACCTTGTGATTGACAGGTTATTCTCAGTAAGTGCATCAGTGCAATGCATAAAACTCAGATCAAACTGTCAAACTAGGCAGTGCTTCCTGCTAAGGACGAGTTGCAGCCAATGAGCGCAGCTCAACTTGCAGTGCGTCACAGCTGCTGGCTTAGAAAAACTGACATAACGCCAGCGATAATGCCAAACTCGAGGCTTCAAACGGGTCTCCACAAACCAGTGGGTGACATCACGATAGGTTCACACTTCATTTGTCATTAGTCATAACTGACACATAATGGAATCTCTTTAGTCTCAGTTTTTTCACCAAACTGAGGGCTGTCTGATGGCAAGGTAAAGTAAAATGTTCTTAATATAGCATACACTTACATAGCATTATTGATTTTTTTTTTTTTAAGGTGGGATTTTCTTTATGTGGCTAAAGTACATTTTTCTGCCAACCCTGTATTCAGCAGTGCATTTTTCTGCTTTCCCTGCCGGAACTCCTGTCCACCAGGGACCCGCTGACCTCCGTCTACTGCAGGTAATACACTGACTATGGATAAGAACACCTCTTCAAAAAACCCAAACTATCCCTGTAGGGTTAAATAAGTAACAGTTGAGTCAAATCCCAGAAAACCAATGGGTAGAATCAACAGAAGGCACATTATAATGTTACACAAGTCTTTGCACCTCAGATATGGATCACAACTATGACACCTCATGTACAAAAAAACATGGAAACCTTTTCAATCACATCTGCAGCGTGCATCAACACCATGACTCATCGTAATCAGCATGTTTGGTGTTACAGGAATGTCATGTGCTCAGCATTTAAATGATTTGCAACCTGGTTTTGGATATGTGGATTAACTTGTGTAATCTGCCATTACATTTAACTACTGCTGTTTTCCTCCTGCTTTCACAACTTATCCACAGTCACGCATATGCCAAGCTCTTTTCCCAATTAACACGTCTGAAAATAACGTGTGACTGTGTGAGAATGAGTGCTGCGCTTATGAGACACAAACACTCACAAGGTTTACAGGGGAAACTCTGATTTCTAGTTTTACACTTTATCCCACACATCGGACTGACACAGAGCTCCCTGTTACAAAACCTTAAATAGGAAGTGAAAAGAGCAAACGTGTACAAAATGTTGAATACTTCATCACAACAAGGGATTTAAAAAGAAAATAGCAGTTGGCAGATGTGGTTCCAGCTGTTTCAGCATCTACAATTTAAGTAATTGAATCCCATTACAGTACTTCTAATATAACAAAAACGCTCTCTTGCTACTCAGGATTCAGCTGATTTATGTTTCAACGGACACAGTTGCAAAGCAGGTTAACACAACTATTTGATGTGTCTTAATGCATTCTGTCCAATCTGTGATTAATACACAGGATGTTAGTGATTTTGCACTTAGTCTTTGTCAGGAGCAACCAATTAGATAGAAAGCCTAAGATCAGAAGTAGTGGTTATACTGGAAAATCATTGTGTCGCTTAGACATCAATGTGTCCTCCTTCTGATGCTGATTAAGAATAATTGGAGTAATTTCTACACACACACACACACACACACACACACACAGATACACACACACACATTAGGATGCTACTGCTGTGGGTCTTTTGCTCAAAATCAAATTGAACAAAATGAGTTGCTTCATCATGGATGTCACTACCTACACGCCTGCAAGCCTGTGAACACACACATATGCTCGCTAACACATACACACACAAAATAACACACACACACACACACACTCGTTGTCCAGGATGCGTAACATTCTGACTGTGTGATGAGTTGATTCGTCACACGACTTGCTGAGGCAGAATCCACCACAAACACCGATTGCATTATCATTGTTACTTTGAGCCTCGGGCGTTAATGATGTACAGCTTATGATGTCTCCGAGGTGTAAGACACACACACATTTTGCAGGAATTCACTAACACATATACACAAACAGGCAGGCCCTCACTCAAACAGTGGATCAGCAAACCCTTCAGCTCTCCACTGCTAATGTGATATCCATCTCCCATCACACACACACACTCTCAATCAGCACACTTAAGTTTTCAGACTATAGAGTGCCGCTCGCTACTCTTATGAGCACTCAAATCAAGCCTGCGGTCAGGATTATGGTCACTTGTGCTCAGCCAATGAAATTAGACCGGTGCTCTAAAGCGCTCCAATAAAGCAGAGACAGAGTGTGGACAGTCCATCTTCTCCAATTATATATACTAGCACCTTCTGTCCCTCAGGAGCAGCCAGGCTCTATCCACAAGCCTCTCTTTTGCTGTGTCTTTAATAATCACAGGCTCAGTCTAACTCGATCTATCTCATTTCTTTCTCCCCTGTCTTTTCCCCCTCCTCCTTTTTTGTAGCTCCCTCTGTTTGTGTGTGTGTATGCCTGTGCAGGGCTTCTTAAAGGTCCAGTGCGTAACATTTAGGAGGCTCTATTGGCAGAAATGGAATATAATACTCGTAGGGATGTTTTAATTAGTGTATCATCACCTGAATATAAGAATCATTGTGTTTTTGTTACTTTACAATTTTTAGCTACAGAGGGAGTGAATCCTCTTCTACAGAGTCCGCCATGTTGAACCACCATTTTTTTTACAGTACCCAGAATGGACAACCAATCACTGGCTGTAGGGGCATTTGCGCTTTGTCCCAGGTTGTTTAATAGTTTTAAGTTTTTAACACTTTATTACAAAATGTTCTTGCTAAATTCCATAATTAATTTTTGTTAATTCATTTCTGTGCTCATTTAACCCCTGTGGTAGATGTGTGGAAATGAACTCTTATTATTTGTTTTTTATTATTTTATGTATGAAATTGGTCCTCAATGTAATACTTTGCTGGCCCCTTGGCCACGTCATCGTTGAAAAAGAGATTTTATCTCAAATGGGTTTTATCTGGTTAAATAAAGCTGAAGTAAAATTAGACACATTGTGACAGTGACGCTTTCCAATAAACCTGACTATTCACCTTGTCCCCTCCTTACAGGAAAGGATAAGTATGTTCTTATGTTCTTTTGTTTGCCTTGTGCCAGAAAGCAATCTCTCTTTGTGTTATAAAGCAAAGGAGGTAATAATAAAACTGGTTTCACACATCATGAAAAGGCTACAGTAATAAAGAGTTTACAGTAAAGGTTTATTTGCATTTTTTATACTTTATAAGTTTATACATATAAGTTAATCATGTTATTCGAGGGGGGGCTTCAAACTCAGTTTTGAAAGTTGTGGGTATTTACAAACCAGTTTGTAAGACAGGCTTTATTTAGAAAATGTGTATTTTATTTTACATTTTGAGAATAAAGTAGGAATGTCAAGAATGAAGTCACACCAATGCTCCCACCTGTGTGCTATACAGAGATTGATCAATTTTATTGATCCTAAAGTTGTGGAGCTCTGAAACGCAGGCATTACTGCAACAAAGGTCCCACTATGCTATGCACATAGATTGGTAGGATAATCTGAAGCCATATGGTGTTGCCATCAATGGTTGTATTAATGGTTTTAGTCACTAAATATTGCAGACTACTTTATCACATCCATTGTGCCCGAATCATCCTCCAAGACGACTGCGCACTGATAGATGCATGGAAAATGGTCACACAGATAGTTCAAGTTCAAGAGACGAAGGAGTTGACTTTATTCCTTGGCATTTCAACTTTATTCTCAAAATGCTAAATTAATTTAAAGAAATCTTCCGTCTCTATTTTTCTTCTTATGCCTGGTCTTAATACTAGGTGGGGCACCAGCATGATGCCTTTATGGTGAAACGGTTTCAAAACCTGGTTCATATTATTATGTGACTCTAGTCTAACTACTACACCTCTGTCCTAAAACACACCGGGAACTATTAACTATTTAACCATTTAGAGGCATATAGAGGCCACCTAATTTCAATTCATGTAGAGAAGCTAATACAGCACTGAATTGCATTTTCTCCAATAGATGTGCACCCTAGCGGTCACTTAATCACATTTTCTTGCACATTAGCGCCACTGTCAAGGGGAACTTTACCTTTTTTTTTTCTACAACTGGTGCAGAGGGCACCTCCACCAGTTCCCACTAATATAAATGTGAGAGGTACTAGAGGGATCTACAATCTACAAAGCTGTTGGAATAATAAAAGAACTGAAATGAGTTGACTCAGTAGAACAATATAAAGACAAAAAGCAGGCACACGATTTTGTTCAGCTCACTTTAACACTGGAGATCCTGTTACATAATGGCCAATCAACAGTACAGTATATCTGCCTGGTTGAACATGGTGGAAGTAAATAAATCACTGCCAAGGCTAAACTTTAGCTGTTTAGATGAATGTACTGTGGCAGAATCAGGTTAGGCTACAGGATCGTTTATAACTCTACTCTATACTGAGACAGTTACACACAAAATGGTGTGAGTAGCTGAGTTGTAGCACGTACAGTTTAAAGACATCAGATGTAATGTTTAAATACTCTAAATATAAAAGTCTACCTCATATGAAACAAGTTGCACTGTATTGTGAATGTGCATCTA